AAACGATTTAAGAAGTCAACAGCTGGGGATAGTTTGGGATAACGTTGTCCATTGGATGATGTATATTTTGATTATGAAATGATATGTGCCACTCTTTGTCTACAAAATTCAAAATCGTTCTATTTTATTATTATACTAGTTATTGCCAGTGTCTTGGAATTTTGCCACTCCCAAGCTTGTGGGGGGCCACTTTTCAATGAAGAAAACTACTGCAAAAATTCTGCAGTGTGGATTTTATTGGCCCACTTTATTTAATGATGCAAATATCTATTGTCGCTCATGGAAAAAAGTGTCAAAAGTTAGGAGTTATGTCTCGTCGTCATATGATGCCCTTAAACCCAATTTTAGTTATTGAAATTTTTGATTGTTGGGGCATTGATTTTATGGGAATATTTCCTCCTTCTTTTGGATATCAATATATTATTGTGGCAATAAATTATGTGCCAAAATGGGTAAAGGTAGCATCTTGCAGGAGCAATGATAATAAGATGGTAATTAAATTTCTCAAAGAGAATGTGTTATCCCAATTTGGTATACCACGTGCTATCATTAGTGACCGGGGTACTTATTTTTGCAACTGTTCTTTTGAGACTTTGATGAAAAAATATGGGGTGGTACATATGATCTCTACTACCTACCACCCTCAGACAAGTGGACAGGTAGAACTTGCAAACAAGGAAATTAAGCAAATTTTAGAAAAAAATGGTTAACCTTGACTGCAAGGATTGATCTTTGAGACTAGTTGATGCACTTTGGGTCTAACGTACAGCTTTCAAGACTACTTTAGGCATGTCACCTTATAGGCTTGTTTTTGAAAAGCCTTGCCACTTACCTGTGGAGCTCGAGCATCGAGCCCATTGGTCCATCAAGCATTTCAATTTTGACATGGGAAAAGCAAGTAAGCTTAGAAAATTCCAGTTGACCAAGTTAGAGGAGTTGAGAAATGATACTTATGAGAAGTATAAAATCTATAAGGCTAAAATAAAAGCGTTTCGTGATAAAAATATTTTGAGAAAAACGTTTAAACCTAATGATCGAGTGTTCTTATATGATTCTAGACTCCATAAGCACCCCAAAAAACTTAGGTCTAGGTGGACCGGCCCTTTTGTAGTGAAGAATATTTTTACACATGGGGCGGTGGAAATAGAGAATCCTAAGGATGGTCAGATTTTTAAAGTAAGTGGTCAATGCCTTAAAGTATTAGTTGATAGGCAAGTTCCAAAAGTGGAAGACATTCCCCTTGAGGATCTGGTCTATCAACCTTGACCCCACCATGCAGGTATGTTTTTCTTTATTTGTTTTGTTTCATTTTATTTTATTTTCCTTTTAGTTTGCTGTTGTTTTCTTTGTTTTTATTTGCAGGTTAGTTTCACTTTGTCATATCGGGTTACCATATTTGATGCTTAACGAACTACCCACGTCACTTATCAGGCGTATTCTACCCTTTTTAGTACACCCCCTTCAAATTTGATTCTTAAACATTGAGGACAATGTTTCATTTAAGTTAGGGGTTGGTGGTGCAAATTCAATATTTAAAATGCTTGTTGGAACTCTGTGACATATTTTCATGTGTCAAATATTAAAATGCGTGTTGGAACTTTGTGACATATTTTCATGTGTCAAATATTTTTAATTTTATGTCACGCATGCATCCTTTTCACATGTGTACTTATTCTCTTTCATAGCTATCTTTGTGAGTTTTCAAAACCCACCATAATCAATTTTTTGTCTGAAACATCCACAAAACCCCTAATGCACTCATCCAAGCTTTGTGGTAAGATGTTGGTTTGACACATGTAGCTAGAGAACTCTTTTACTTAAGTATTCATGTGAGTTTTGGAGAGGATTGAGAGCCTACAAATGCAGTAAATTGTGATAAGCGTTCATTGATCTGTTGAAATGGGTACTTCTTTTGAGAATATCATTACATGGTTTGAGGTAAGATGGTGGATATATTTGGGATATGATGAAGGTTAACTTAGGATCAACGATTGAGCCTTTCAAGCTAACCCTTTCCACCATAGACCCCTAGTAGCCAACTTTGAGCCAATAAACACATGTAGCCTTTTCTTTTCATATGCCTACATTATCCATACCTCTCCACATTGGAGTATAACCTATACACTAATTTTCCTTACCCTTGTTACTTCCAAGTGTGTACTAGATGTGGAATTCTTTTTGAAAAAAAAAAAGAGAGAAAGGAAAGGAAAGACCATGAGTTACAAGGTGTTCAAGTGATTTCGTTGATTAAAAAGAAAAAAACCAAAGTTGGGTAGAAATAGCAAAATACTAGGGTGACATAATTGTTCACAAAATTGTTTCAAAAAAAAAGAAAAAAAAGGCATTATTCAATGACTTGAAAGGCTAAAGAGTACATCAAGCGAGAAATATAGTTTATTGAGAGATTTAACAAGATTCCCTTTGAATGTAATTGGAAGTTTTTGAATCCTTTCCATTTTTTTTTAATAGCCTCAAAACTTAAGCCACGTTACAACCTTTTGTGTTGACCGTTCTGATCCTAAGTAAGCCTTTGGGAAAGCGTGGTGGAAGTCTCATTTGTTAGTATTCCTACCATAAGATTAATGTTTGCTTGTTGCTTGTACAAAATTGCCTAATTCTCCATGAGAGTGTGTGCACACCCATTGCCAACTCCATAGAGAGAATCTACACACGAAACACTTTTATACCTGTGAGTTATAGAGTTGAACCTTTCGCTTGAGATGTTCTTGATGTTGCATGTGCTAGGGTTTCTGGTTAGATGGATATAGTTTGGAACATACGCACACTCTGTGGATTGCTTCAAGAGGATTGCTTGTGATGGGGTTATTGAATTCCTAAGATTATTTTGATATGTGAATTTGAAAAGTGTGACTTAATGGCCTTTGGGTGTGATTTTCTTTGTTTTCTTTCATTGTTTTGGCATAAAAATTGCTAGGGACTAGCAATGAGTAATTTGGGGGTGTAATGAGTGCGCGACAGTGCATTCTAAATACCTAATTATTGGATTAAAATGCTAAAATATGAATAGAAATAATTAAATATAATTTATATGAATTTAATATCTATTCACACTAAGATGTATTTGAACATGATTTTATAATTTTTAAAATCTTAAATATTACATTATTGGTTGGTGAGAGATAATTTACAAATGAACTTTACACTTAACATTTTTGGGACTTTATTATTGGACTTTTATGTTTTTATTTTGTTTTATGGCAGCCCATGGAGTAAAAAGGCTGAAACTGATGTTGATCTCACGTGAGCCCAACACTTATAATTTTTATTGGACTTCATCTTTATCAAATTACACAAGATTTTTGGACTTTAAGGGGTAAAATAGAAAAGCTGGAATAAAGAGGGATTGAAATAAAAAAGCTAAAATAACGTGGGGAGGAAAAGGTTATTTTTAAAAAGGAGTTTGACTTTTAAAACCTATTCTTTTCTTTCTTTGGTGGTGGCTGGTTTTTCTTTTTTGGTGTGGCGGCTGAAAGAAGAAAAAGATAGAGAGAGGTAGACGCAGTTTAGAGCAAAAAATTGATGATCGTCGCTAGTTTGTTTTATTTTTTTGGGAGATTTTTGTTGTCCATTATATTTATGGATAAATTAATTTTCAAGATAAGGCGAGGGATGAACTTGCACAGTAGATGATATTTTATTTATTTTTAATTTATTTATTTGATTTCTAATTAGTTAAGCTCTTTTATTTTATCATTTTTAATTCATTGTTGATGTTTTCTTCTCCGAATAATCATAAAATTTATTCTGTTTATAGATTCAGTCATGTTTTTTCTATTGAATGGATTAGTTCTTTAATTATGTTTGGATCAATTATTTATCTATATTGATTTAATTCTTTGCTGAAATATCGCTTTTTAAGTATATTGTCGTCGTTGGATTTTCTCAATAATGATAATAATTTACGTATTTTCAAAGTGGTAAATGATTTTTCAAAGGGTTACATGTGGTTTAATCTTGGTTTATAAATCTATATCTTCCAGTTGAGAATTTTGGGAATTGAATTCTCAATTGAGTTATTTAATGAATTAAGAATAATTAAAATACCAGATTTGTGCAAAAGGATTCCCGACGCTTTACTGTTTGTTAAATTTGAATACTTTTTTCGTTAGTCACTTTGCATTACTTTAAATTACATTTAAAATTAATCTGTATTCTCTAGTAATCATTTAATATTTTTCTTTAGTTCCTTTGTTCCTTCTACTATTCTTTTAGTTTGTCTCTCTATAGAATCGACACCTCAAAGTTGTGTTACAACTACCGCGTTATTCTTTGAGCGTAATTAGTATTCATGTAATATTAAAAAAAAACATCACCAAGAAAATATGAGAATCCCATTAAAAAAAGTTAATAATTGGTTTTAACACCAGCCATCACTCCACAAAAGCCACTTGTCTATAGTTTTAGGACTATGCAACTCATAGACAACCAAATGCATTTGAATTTCTTCCATGATGAAGCACATCCAAATATATCTAGAGTTATCCATGAGTTGGAACAAAGACAATGTATTCATGGATAATTTAAAATCCTAGTTAGGGGGAATTAGAGCTTTACCCCTTGTTCGAACAAAATACAATTACTAAAAATATTCCAAAATAAATTGGGATAATTTGTAGGATGAGGATCACTTTCCAAATCTTCTATCCATTGCATAATGAGTAATATTATTGGGATCTAAAAAATTGACCTTATCTATTGACGTAATGACATGTCAAGTGATGAAATCCCAATGAAAAAGTCCAAGAGTTATAGTCACAATAACACTATTAGATCACCTCACTATCATATCATTAAGTTAACAAATTAGATCTATTTTTTAGGTCCCAATAACATTACTCTTGCACAATAGACATCTTCATTTATTTGAATTCCAAGAATCTTGCCCATTAGGAAGGAATATCATCACCCACTAAAGCAACTAGATGTAGAGAGTCAAGAAAATGCATATATGCCAGTAAACTTTACAATCCGGTGCCAAATTACTCTTCCCAAAATTTCGCCACTACAATCGTTATAGACATTATGTCTAAAACAGATACAAAACGTCTTGCAGACCAAGATCCACTCTTAGCTCCCCAAAATCTGAGATTGTCCATGCACAATCCAATCAAACTCTTGCACTCCACCAAATCCGTAGTCGTAGCTAGTTGACAGAAGTCCTTCCAAAGGACTACCATTCTGTTGCTTCCATAATCCATAATAAAATTTTGATCTAGACATAAAACTACAACTTATTTGTAAATGATATGCACTTACAACTTAATTGGCATCAAACAACACATTTAATTACCTATGATTTCAATTGAAGCAGTTGCTGGATGCCTATTTCCATGCCCCAATTTCAGAACCTTTATTTTTTGTTTTCTTTTAAATAGTAATAAGAGAGAGATGGGAATCCAAACAATTATATATTCCAACAAATGTAGTGGTACTGAGCATTCAAACCACTAAAAACTAAATTGCAGCCAAGACAACAAAAAAAGACACTGAAAAACCAGCATATGAGTTTTAGATAAGGAAAGCCAAATCCTTTCCTACAATTAGGTCTACAACAAAAAGGATGGTTTTGTTATTTTGAAATTCCCTACCACGGAAATTTTCTCATGCACAATACTTCTTATATAAAAAAAAGATAGATAGGCATTTTTATAAACAAATCAAAATAGTAATTAAGTTTTTTTTTAATTGAAGTGAAATAATTAACACTTTGCACAAAACCATTGAAGTTGAGCTCATTGAACCATTGGGCTTCAATGGAAACTTTCATAGGTTTATAGAGAATAAGTGCAATTAACAAATTATCAAGTTCAATAACCCAAGAAAGTTCCAAACAACAAAGTTCAATGAACCAAAGGTCAAAGAATTCAAACCTTGGGTCTGTTGAAACTGCAACACCCTCAAACCACATGTGACATCATTTACCAATAGACCCAAGAAGAATGTGTTGGAAATCGGTCAACCTAATCAATTGCAAAGTCTATCCATGACCTGGCAAAATCAAGTGCATAGTTTAAGTGAGGAACAACATACTTCAAATAGCATGGACAAATACAACTTGAAGGAACAAAGAAAATACTCTTGTAGAATTTTGCATAATATATTTGATTTGTTATTGATATAAACACGAATAGAAAATTTTCCCAGTAAAATAAACCTCAGAATGTCAAGTTAATCAATATTAGACAACATTACAATTAAAGGGTATGCTACAAATTTAAATAAGCAAGAATACAAAATCTGCACAATAAAATTAATCTAAAAATATCGAGTGAATCAAAATTAGAAATACCCATTGATGATAATAGCCTTGTGGTCGTTTGACACCATGAAATCAATAACCACAATAGCAGACCACCAACACTACATTCAGTAATACCAACTTCAAACTCAAGGTGAAACTTGTTTTTTCCTTCATAAAGCAAACACTCCCCACACAAACATACACCTATTTATTGTTGTGAGAATTTACATCGAATAGTTGGGTGCCACTATATTTTCCCAAGTGGTAAAAATGGATTCAAAATAGTGTTTCTTGTTAATAAAACATAGAAACAAATGGGCACTTGAACTCTTTTTATCAATGGAGCAATTTAACAAACACATGGAAGCACCTATATAACATGGAAGCACACCAAGATTTTGGAGACGTATAGAGAAAAAGAGCTCGTAGTCCACCGGAGAGAGTTGAAGATGAAGGAATTAAAGCAGCAATATTTTAGGTCACGCTCTCAATAAGTTTATTTTTATCTCACACGTACTCACTTCGTAGATGCTAAATTTAATGGTGGTTGGCATGGTGGCTAGGGCAGCAAAGGGTGGTAGTGGCTTAGGAGGTGGAGGGGCTTCAAAAACGATGACTAAGGGGTGGAGTAGAGAGGGGTGGAAAGGGAGTTATAGTGATGTGGGTGGACTAGATTGGAGATGTGTGAATTTGTATGTGTGTGAGTTATAGGGTTCTAAGGGTTTAATAGTAGAAACTGGTGGTTGTGATGGTGAAGGAGATTTTCCAAAGAGAGAGGTAGAGAAAAGAAAAGAGTAGAGAGAGGGAGGAGAGTGAGAGAAAGATTAACCGAGAGAGGAGGTGTGTGTTTGTGTTTGTGTTTGTGTGTGTGTGTGTTTGTGTTTGTGTTTCTGTGTGTATGTGTGTGTGTGAGAGAGAGAGAGAAAAGGAAAGGGTATGCCAAATTCAAAATACATCATCCAACATCTTCTATTTGGTTAGGAGAGTCAATCATTAGGAGAGTCCTACTAAATTTTGAAAGGTGATGGCTGGTAAAGAAATTCAGAGATTAATTTGTACTCACTTAAAAAAGGAAACGTTGTTGGGCGGGAAAATAAAATTCAGTACTCACTGTAGACTGTTAGATCAATATTTATGAGACGATCGGAACCGTCTTTTATGTTGGGATTACGTTACCTATTAAATGTGTTTATGTTTTGTCTTAAAACAATCTGGACCTCTCTTTGTCTTCAAAATTCAAACTCAACTCTACTTTATTATATATATAATAAAACAGAAGAAAATTTGAATCTTATACCGAACATATTTCCCCCCCCCCACCCAAAACTATCCCATCCAACCCATCACCTCCCTCTTAACGTTACATTGCCCCTCACCTGCACACAGCTGTCTGACACACGTATCCATCACCTACACCCATCATTGCCCCCTCACCTGCACCCATCACCTTCCTTTTTTTCATCTACTCCTTTGCCTTTGTTTTTTTTTTTTTACCTTCCTCTTATTTCTTCTTCACTCCTATTTCTCTTTCTCTCTCTCCCCCTCTGTTACAATCATGAAAGCTACAGCCATCGACTTCACTGCAGCCAGATCCACAACCATCGCTACTGCCAGGTATTCCCCCCACCTTTCTTCCCCCTTTGCGCAACCCCCCCCCCCCACACTCTCTCACTCAGTTCGAGTTCGATGACAACTCTTGAGGAGACATTGATGCCCTTCAAAGTTCATTTAGAAAAGAGTGAGAGGGAGTCAATACTAAGAGCTCAAATCTCATCACCTGCTGAGAATAATGAAAGACCCAAAGAACAACCAAACCTAGATCACAAACCCTAACCAACCTTTCATAGAGCTCCTCTGGTTATTCCTAATCACATCATGTATCAAATTCCTCTTAATTCCAGCCTACCACGACACAAAATTCCTCGCTATTAGTTGGTTCTCACCCACTCTTTCCCTCTCTCCCAATGGTAGCAGCCCCGTGGACTCTAAATTATCCACCATTCTTTGCTCATTTTGAACACTTCCCCTCCCTCTTTGCCCAGTTTTTTGACACCACCATGGTCCACCTCCAAAATGGCCTTAATTACAAGTCCTATCTCACCATTTTCTTCCAGAGAGTCTCAGTAATTGTCTTTGACATCGTTTTGATGTACGGAGTTTATTGTTTGACTCGAAATTTGGAGAGAAGAAAGCAAATTTTGGTTTGGCTATTGATGATTTGGTCACCTGGGTTGATGATTGTTGACCATATGCACTTTCAGTATAACAAGTTTCTTTTTAGGGATTTTGTTGGTTTATTTGGTAGCATTGCAAGAAGGAAAGGATTTGGTTAGTGGGTTTGCTCTGTTTTAAATCTTTAACTTGCTGTCCAAGCATACCCATTTCCTCAGGCTTTCATCTTCACGTTGCTTTCAAGGCTCTGGTTCTAGTACACATCCAAACACAGGTTAATAAATTCTCTCTCTCTCTCTGTTTTCTATCCCAAACTTTAGTATTATTTTTAATGGTGTTTGAAAGGTGTATTTTTTGTGTGACTTATGTCGTATATCCCTAACACAAGATTTTAGCATCATGTTTGAAGGCATACATGGTATGTGAGCTTTGGCCATATAGGTTCCTCCATATCTTCACCGACCCATTAGAGGAGCAAGTGAAACACAACCATTAAGGTAAATTAAAATTTATGTTTTTGGGAGGCATTGGATATTTTTGATGATTTGCGTTGCAATTATTTTTCTTGATATCTCTCTATTCGTATCAAAGTTGTTTGCTTTGCTGCTAGAGGTCGGTATCTCTCTATTCGTATTGGTATATTTTGATGTGGTGTACTTAGTTATAGTGAAAGTTTTTACTACTTATATTGCATTTAGGAGTTTGCCATCTTATTTCTTTAAATGTTTGATTTTGCTAGATTTTGATTTCTTTGTTAGTTTATGGACTGAATTTGTATCATAAAGAGCTAAGGACACATTGCCGCCAACATAACATGATATTTTTCTATTTCTTCTATCCAACATCAAGAGGGATTTTCTTATTTTTTTTCTTTTGCTCTTCTTTATCATTTTTTTGGTTAAAGTGCAGTAACATTCGACATTGTGTGTTCCTCGCAGTGGGTGGATTCTATGTGTACATTTTTTTTTTTGGGATTAAAGTTCTCTGAGTATGATTTTTGAATATAAAGTAGGTTTTATACGTTGAGTATGGCAAAACTACGGCTAACTTTTTGTTCTTTTGGTGTTTGTATGATGATGTTTGAGGACTACACTTGCAGAAAGTGGGAGCATTTGCACCACAATATAAACTACTACTAAATTTTTGTTCTTTTGGTGGTTATATGATGATGTTTGAGGACTACACTGGCTCAGTGGCTTCTTGATTGAATTTGTTGATTTATATGGTGATGGCTTTTATTTTGTTATTTGGGTCCAGGTGGAAAATGTTAAGGCTGGTTTGATGGTAACTATATCACATGCATCATAAAATACTTTAATCATCTTTTGCATGATGCTACCATAATATAATTTTTGCTGTCTAGGGGCGATCATTTTCCACTACTAGCATGGATGGAATGGAGGAATTTATATTGGAATGGGCGAGTTGGATTTTTTAATAGCTTCCAGCTTGAACGGAATGGATGTGAGACTCAGATTCTGATACCTTTTCATGGTGGTATAAGGCTAACAAAATATTTTTTGTTAAAAGACAATGAGTTCTAATTTTAGCTATTCTCTTGAGGCCTTTTACGCTCATTAATATTCAGTGTTTGTTTATTTCTAACGTGTCTATGTTAAGCGTTTGATTGTTTCATTTTCAAGAACAATGTAAGTTTTTTTTTTTTTAAATTGCACAATTTCAGGCACGGATTATGGGGACAGTTTAGGCTTTTAGCTTAGTACATGTTCGAGTTCAGTGATTGATTATTTCGTTCCAAAATTTAGTGTTTGATATTTTTTAAATTACACCATGCCTTTAGACACGGGTTATCCATAGTATATATATATTAACACACACACACACACACACATATATATACTGGTGCAAATTTGAATTGCATGCAGAAAGGGTTTATACCAACCAAATACTACCACAAGACAACCGTAAGAGTTAGTGTAACAAATGGTAGTACAATAGAAGTAAAATACAAATTACCAAATGTGCATATTTGCCAAGACAATGTATGCTTTAAAACATATTTTGTCTTAGTAAAAAACATGACCAATAAAGTCATTCTTGGCGCACCATTTATATAGTTGTCGTATTCTTTCACAACAAATGTTAATGGACTAACTGTCAAACCATTTGGTCAGTAAATAACTTTCAAATTCTTAACCAAACCCAAGTTAAAAAATTAAGGCAACTAAAAGAGTGTCAATCTCTATGTCCCTTAATTTAATAACCCAAAAAAATAATCAAGTGAAATTTCTTAAAGAAGAAATTAATCATAAAAGAATTGAAGAACAATTAACAAATCCAATCTTAATTAAGAAGATTGAAGAATTTAAAGCAAAATTGGAAACAAAAGTGTATTCTAACCTTCTTACGGCTTTCTGGTATAGGAAGAAACACATGATAAAACTTTCTTATATTATATATATATATCAAAATTCTTTGGTTTTAGTACTTTTTAAGATAAAGTAATTAAAATTGCTTAATTTTAATCGTCAAATTTTAAAAGTTTCCAAAAAATTGAAAACATATCCCTAAAAAAATGGAGAGAATTTATTATGGGTTTTAATTTTCGTAAATTTTAGGTTTTTGTTTGATTAGAACTCTTATATATATGTGTGTGTGTGTGTGTGTGTGTATTTTAAAAATTTTTTAGGAAACTTATTTACAATAAAAGGTATTCAAGTTTTTTCTATGTTTTAAGTGGACTTTTTTACAAATTTTTTTTCTTAGCTACTTTTTAACAATTCAATCCAACTTTGTGTACCATCTTCTTCTGAAAGTCTCTTTTACTTATTTATAAAGTGTATATAGAAGGAATAAGTTTAATAATTTGATAATAAAGATTTTAATGGGGTGAGAATAGATATTTAAGGCATGTTTGGTTTATATTTTAAAAAATAGTATTCAAAAATAATTTTTGAGAAGAGTTTTAAGAAAGTATGTTTTGATATTTTTATATTGTAAAATCTATTTGATTATATATTTTTAAAAATAATTTTAAAAAATAAAAAATAAAAAATTTATTTGGACAATAATTCACGATCCCTCAATTTGAACACAAAAAAAAAAACAGTTTTTGAAGAATCAAACCAAACAGCCCTTCTATTCCCACCCAAAATTATTTCCCTCCGTTTCAACGTGCTCGGGAGAAATTTGAAAACTAGAACGTTCAAAACCCTTCACAAATACCATAGACACCCATTCCCCCAAAATGGCTTCCAAGTCCAAGAACAAGATGCGTTTCTCTTCCTCCCAATCTACCGATTTACGACCCTCTTTCTCTGCAGATTACGACGACGAATTCCAAGAACCCTCCTCTCACTCTCTACCTCTCACCCAGATCCCAAGCTTACCCATCCCCAAAATCTGTAAAGATTCACCCAAAATACCTAAAAGTTTCAGCTCACTGCAGCCTCTGAAACTCTCCAATTCCGCCATTCGTCCCTTGAAGAAACCGAAGAAGCAATCCATTCTTGTCGCCGGCAAGGAGAATTCAATGCGATCCAACAGACCACCGGCTGGTTCAGAATCATCATTGTTAGAATCCAACGACACCCTATATTCGGATTCCGGAGTTGAAACAGCGAGTTATTTCGTCACAGATGGTGACAACGCCGCACCCTCAAAGGATACCCATAATGGTCAGCAGGTATTTGTGTCGGATGCTATAGATAGTGGTTTAGATTGCATAGAGTCAACCATTGATTGCACTTATAGATATGAGGCCGACGATATTACACATGTTCATGAACCTGTCAATTTTGGGGATTTTGATTCTGAGGGTCGTCCTAACACTAGCACTGTGAAAATGACATTGAAACTGAAAGGAGGCTACTTATCTAATTCAATAGAGTCCAGGTTACTCAAGTCCAGAATGAATTGCAGTCCTAGTGTTTGTGCCAGTGATGAATGCTTGGAGGAGTGTAAATCTGAGGAATTTGAGCCGGGTACGCAGCTTGATTTGTTGCTCAAGTTATGTTCTGAGACAGATGAGAAGGATGACAAGTCTAACATAGGCGGAGAATATGATCCGTTTGATGGTCTCATTTATTGTCCTCTCTGTGGAGTTGACATCTCGGATTTGAGTGATGAACTTCGACAGGTTCACACAAATGAATGCCTTGACAAAGAGGAAACTCCAGATAATGTAATCCCTCCTGATCTCTTTTGTTTTTTAATCTACCCCTACAGATGCACCCCATATGTCTTTTCTTTAAATGGGCCGGGTCTCCCGACGTACATAGGGCCGGCCCTTTGGGTGTCTCGGTGATTGAGATATTCATTCATCGTTTTGTATGGATATATGGTAAAGTTTTGTTTTTGGGTATTCCTTGCAGGCGAAGCTTCCTGATGATGACGTACGACCTCGATGCCCTGGTCAAGTGCTTGATGGTTCTCCTGTTCGGTCTCCTCGGCAAGCTGTTGATGTCTCCCCTGTTCTAGGATGGCTGGACACTCTCGGCCTAGCTAAATATGATGAAGTTTTTGTCCGTGAAGAGATTGATTGGGACACTTTGCAGTGGCTGACAGAAGAGGTATGCTTCATGGTGTTCCATATGATGAATCCTTGTCTATCCAACTTCTATTGGGACTTTTGCTCCAGTGAATCAGAATGGGCCCCTGATGATGCTTTATCTTGAGGCCTAAGAACCTGACACTACAACTTATTCCAAATATATGTGGTCAACATTTTTATAGACAATTTAGCAATCATGTGAGTAATTCTTTAATTGATCCACTTAAAAAATATGAGTGCAAGTTTATGGCTATGTCTGAGCTGAAATGTTTAACAAGATTTCATTTTACTGCAATTGTTCTCGAAGTACTTTTGGGTAGGGCTATCAGCACCCTACACAAATTCTTGCCTTCGGTTGGTTCTTAAATTCATTGATATTGCCTGTGTTCAGCTCTGCAATTCATTTAATTTTGTGCTTGTGAGTCAGATAACCCTTTTCTTTTACCCTGCAGGATCTATTTAGCATGGGTGTCACTGCACTTGGTCCCAGGAAAAAGATCATCCATGCTCTCAGCGAACTCAGAAAGGAAGGCACCAAGGCAGTGGAAAGAGATGCCTCTAAAGTTGTTGATGAACCTGGTAAACTAGCTGCAAACAAACTGATTACAGATTATTTTCCAGGCTCTGTTCCTGAAAGAGAAAAAGGTTGCAGTACTTCAAGAGGTCAGAATGAGGCAAAAAAATCCGATGCTGATTCTGGTCGTAGACGTGTTGCGGTGAGAAATCATGTCAGGATTGGAAAACTCAGAGATATTCCATTGTGGTGTTGCATACCAGGCACCCCATTTCGAGTGGTAAATGGTCTTTGACCCGTATTAAGCTATTGTTTCATTTTCCTATGCTTTTTGGGTGTTAGTAATTCTCATGGGCTGGACGATTCTCTTTTCAAACACATAAGGTGCAAGCAAGTCCTTACCACCTTTTGGAAACTAGTAAACGTGGGCAAAAGTTACTGGTTAACCATAAGGCCAGTGAGATCGACCATGACTCTTTCCACTAATGTTTACTTTCATAGTTGGCTCCAATCAATTGATAAGATACAAGTTCTTATTCAGATTTCTGTATGCTATATGTTAGTTTTGTCTCCATTATTGTTTCAGCTATACAGCCTATATTTGACTCTTTATATATCTAATATATCATAGTCTGTGGACCATAGTTATATGCGACAAAGGTTTCCCTTAGAACAAAATTCTCTTTAGCATTTAGTTATTAAGAACAAATATGGTTTACAAGCCAATGGATGTGACACTAATAGAGTTGAGAGGGTAAGTTTCCGATGCCCGTGGAAATTCATATCTCAGGGTGTGACAAGGTTTTCCCATAATTTTAGCTTTGTGGTGGTGGGTAATGGAGAAAGGATATGTTTTTGGGAGGATCCTTGGGTGGGGGAGTTACCTTTGTCTTTTTTGTTTCCACGTCTTTATCACTTTTCTGTTTTTCATGGTGTATCTATTTGTTCCGTGATTAGTTCTTTTCATGGTCCTTATTCTGGGACTTTGGTTTTCGTAGAAATCTTGACGATAGAGATACTTTGGAGTTGATGTCTCTTCTTGCTACTATTGATGACATTTTGTTATCTCAAGAATTATGTGATAAAAGGAGATGGGTACTTGAGTTATCGGGTGCTTTTTCAACTAAATGCTTCTATGATTCTTTGGTTGTCCATTCATCAAGTCCTCCATTTATTACAACTGTAATGATTTGGAAAGCAAAGTGCCTATTAAAGTGAAAGTTTTTGCATATACCATTGTGCATGGGAAAATTAATGTGTAAAAGTGATTACGAAAGTATTGATCATTTGTTTTTACATGGCCCTGTTGCTTTGACTTTGTGGCATAAGTTGTTTAACGGTGGACTTAAGTTGGGTGTTTCCTAAATCATCCATATCTTTGTTGTTGAGGATTTGAAAGGCTTAGGGTCTCTTGGTAAGGATGTCGCTCTATGGAATTGTGCTATAATTGCGACTTTTTGGGTTGTATGGAAGGAGAGAAACACAAGCATTTTTGAAGACTGAGGAGAATGTTTGGATGGTTTATGGGACCGGATTCATTTCTTAGCATCTTTTTGGGCTTCAATTACGAAGGAGTTTAGAGGGAATCCACTTTTTGCTATACTTTCAGGATGGATAGCTTCATGTGATTTATAATTTTTTTACCTATTTTCTTTCTTTGTAATTTTTCTTTTTTCTTTTTCCTTTTCACTGCTGTTGTAGTTGGATTCCTTATTCAACATTCTTGATAATTTTTTTTTTTATTTTTTATACAAGAAGTTTGTTTCCTATCAAAAAATAGTTATATGTGACAATTAAATCACACATTTGTGAAACCTTTTTGTACATATTACCCTCTTTTACAGCTTTGCTGGATAAGTGATGGGTTATTCTCTTCTTCATTCTCTTCGTTTTCTGTAAAAAGACCTTTATCTTGTTATGACACTCTTAGTTGAGGGTACCAGGGGGTGGACTGGGACAAACATAACTTTTGGCATGATATGCACAAGTGGTTGCCCTCATATTCACAATCACAACCTTGCGGCTATTAACACGCGATTTTTATCAATGCACTAGCAAATACTCTTGTTTGTTTGCCTTTTTCCGCATGTGTTACAAGTGTATTGTCTCTTTTTTGGAACTCCTTTTTGATTTTTATTTTCTAATCATGATGCTTATTGAGTTCTATTTGCTTCTTTTCCTTTTGTTTTCTTTAAATGGAAAAATTCAAGATGCAAAAATTCAAGATGGAAGCTTCATGATTAGTTTGTATGGTGTTTGCAGGACGCATTCAAATATCTCAGAAGAGATTGTTCTCATTGGTTTCTCACTCACTTCCACATTGATCGTAAGTCCATCTATTTCTTTGTCATTAAAACTAAGTTGTCTTATAATGAAAATAAATCAATAAGAAATAGGGGCATTTGCTACTCTATTTGGGACGTAATAAATCAATAACAATGTAATTTTTTTTAATGTTTCTTAATATCTCATTGTTTGATACATATTATGGCTTGAAAACCTCATCTATGATTTCGTGGATTATATAATGATTGTCCAGTTGAGGACCATATATTTTCACGTAAATTTCACCCCACATCCCTTGACATTTGGTTTTATTACACCGACACATCTTCACATTTTAAAAATAACTCTTAAGGCCCCTTGAAATTTTCAAACTTGTACTGATCACACCCCTTCAGTCTAACTGTCAAAGTTGGTCTTACAAAAAAACAATTAAAATACCACAGATATCCTTTAATAGTAAACTTAACGCTTCAAAGACAGTATCACCCCCAAAAATATAATAGATAAAAAAATTCACCTTCATTTCACATTTCCTTTTTGAATTATTCCCTTTTGTACACAACTTATAATTTTGACTAGTAATGATACAACAAATCAAAACAGTTTATTACACTAATATATTGTTAAATATCTATATTTAGGACAAAAATAATTCAGTATTAAACACCTTTTATAATTAATGATCACAGTAATCATACTTCAATAAATTCATTATTTAATTCTACCTGATTAATTATAATTACAAGTTAATTATTTAATCAAATCAAATTAATTGTAATTCGATAATTATTTGCCCTATTACCGTACATGATGCTTCTTCTCCACACAAGCACAACATAGGGTTTTGGGTCACAAGTCGCGGGGTGATGAGTTTGGATTTGGAGATGGATTTGATCAATTAATTAAGGGTAAAACAGTCTTTTTAGTAATTATGTTAATGCCGTTCACCTATTGGAGTCTCAGTATCATTTTCAAAATGTGAGGGAATGTCCATCTAATAAAATCAAATGTTAGGGGTGTGGATGAAATTGACCCTATATTTTCATTCGTATATCGAGGTAAGGGGATGAGGAAATAACATTCTTTTGATTTCCAAACGTATCATGTGCACTGGCTGCCATGCATGAGTTGGTTCTAATTGTACTACAAAAGGTTATCTACTTCTAGATGCTCTGATGCGAACAATCCAAATGGCATGTTATCTTTGTATGTCATGCAAACTATTTTTTAATGAATGTGCAAAAGTATTTTGTTTCTTAAAGTGTTCAATTTTTGGGATTCATTCCTTTGCCGTTATTTTGAAGCAGTTCATTCTCTTCACTGCAAATAGAGAAGTGTTGTGCTATGGGGCCTGAATTTGACATCCAGGATGAACAATACATACCAATGTCACTGCAGTTCTGTGGTGACCTTCATTGAGGTTAACTTTTGCAGATCACATTGGGGAACTAATTGGAAAATTTAGATGAATGATTGTAACAATTTTTTCGAACCATTGAAAGCTGGTTTCTTGCGTAAGCTATATATAATATCTGTTGTAAGTGCCCTAAAGCACTTGATGAAGGTTCATGGTTCCCATTTGATTCATGGTTCTTATAGTATTTGTCATTTTAATAATTGCTTGAATTTTGTTATTACCTCCAGTGTTCCTGCTTGCCAGCTTTATTTTCTTTGCATTTCCATAAGACTGATAATACTGAATTTCTGTGTTGCATTTGCTTCCGCAGATTATCAAGGCCTTACAAGGTCCTTCTGCCATGGGAAGATCTATTGCTCCTCCATTACAGCAAGACTAGTGAATTTAAAAATTGGGATCCCATGGGACAAATTACAAATTTTACCCCTCAACCAAAAGATCAGCATTGCCGGAGTTAATGTGACATGCTTTGATGCAAATCACTGCCCAGGTTCCATCATATTACTTTTCGAACCACTCAATGGTAAGGTGCGGTCTGAATTAACTCATCATACTAATTTGTATTTAAATTTTGGTGTTACCTTGCAATCGTTTCTGAACTTGATGCTGGGTTTCTTCCCACATTTAGGCTGTTCTACACACGGGGGATTTTCGTTTTAGTGAGGAAATTGCAAAGATCTCTGATTTGCAGAAGTGTTCTATTCATACTCTCATATTGGATACCACTTATTGTGACCCGCAGGTAAGTCTGTTTATTCAAGCCACCTTTCTTCTGAGAGCCTAGCCTTTAAGCAAACTGACACTATGAGTCGACCTTACAACCATCGTAATGCAAAACCCAACTTTTTAAAGGTGAAAGCTACCCCATGGTGCTTGCAATGTGAAACAGCCTAATCCCAATCCCAGGGTAGAAATTAAGCGTAGGTATGTTGAATTGCTAAGTTATATGTAGGTATCAAATATATAGAAAAGCATTAATGTGTACTGAGCTTTTCCTAGATTTGCTGTCAAAGTTCTAACTGGGATTGGCTTGTTGAGCTTGTCCTTAGGGCATGTCTTTGCATTTAAAATTCTAGTTATAGAATTTTGACCTCTGGTTATGGACCTATTCACTCCTCCCTTTAGTTACTAGACTAAGTACACCTAAATTTAGATTTCAAGTCTTTGACCAATTCAAAGCAATCACCTCAATTTTGGTATGACTTCATTGGACCCCTTAATCAGCGTAAAACGAGGATTTACTTTTTCAATTGGAAAGTTTATTACACATGAGCTGCAAGGAAATGTGTCTGCTGGAAAGTGTCCTGCTGTGTCCGAATTACAAAAATACAAAGATTTAGGCACTGTCAGTGTCCCAGATGTGCCAGACATGGATACATGAGTGGAAGTCTGTGTCGTTGCTTCTTAGCTGACATCTACTGGTGGGTGCTTTATATGTTACTTAAACTAATTTTAGGCAGTTTTCTCTTGCTTTGACATTGCAATTCTTGCTTAAAGCCAAATAGACTTCTATTATGTGCATGCACTAGTCAATTTAGTGAAGAAAAATCTGACATATTGTTTCTATTGAGTTGAGTTCTTCCTCATACTTTCAGGAGCCTAGTATTCATGTGCATACAAGGACGGAGCTACATGAGGACCGGGGGGGGGGGGGGGGCACAGGCCCACCCTCAATTGTTTTTAAAAAAATATTACTTATGTATATTTTAAATAATTTGAAGAATTTAAGTATGCCATCTCTATCATTTTTTGTTCTTTAAATTAGTATAGTCCCTGCACCTAAATAATTATGAATTTTTGGACACACTTTGGACACTTTATGGATACATCTATATAAGTTTTTGACATGTCAAACTCATTTTTTTTAAGCTATAGAGATTCCAATTCAAAAAAAAAAGAAGCTATAGAGATTATGGTAACTAGGTTGCTTAATTGAATGAGTGATCAATGACTAATAGTTTGATTGTATATATAGAGAAATATTATAATATCTTTTATGCAGTTAGTCTCATTTGTTGTGAAGGGTTATAACTAGTCTCTCTTTTTTATTTTTTTTGTTTTTTATTTATTTAAGCTATATTTATCTACGTTTGACCCTTTTGTATTTTATGAATTTTTAAGTATCGAATACAATATAGTAAATTTGAATATATTATTTTATTTTTATTGATTGGGAGAAAAAAAATTAAAATTTCTAAGTAAAATGCCCACCTTAAACATAATTTCTCGCTCCACTACTGTGTGCGTGTTATACTTGTAAAACAGAAAGGTTTTTTTTTGTGTGCGTCTGGTTGGTGTATGTTTTTAATGTAATAGACTGTTGGTTCTCTAATATGATGACAATTGAAAGTTAATATAAGTTTATGTGCTATTCTTAGTACGACTTTCCAAAGCAGGAAGCTGTAATTCAATTTGTCATTGAAGCCATCCAAGCAGAAGCTTTTAATCCAAAGACTTTATTTTTGATTGGTAGCTACACGATTGGTAGAGTCTCTCTCTCTCTCTCTCTTGATATATATATGCCTTTCCCCTCATCCCAGAGTTTGTACTGCATGATGCTTTCAGTCTCTCACAGAAGATCATTATTCTTTATCTTCTTCAATTTTGTTCAAGGACAGGAAAAGAAAGGTTGTTTGTAGAGGTTGCTCGTGCTCTCCGTAAGAAAGTCTATGTCACTGCAGCAAAACTCCGGTGTTTGGAATGCTTGGGGATCCCTGAGGAAGATATGAAGTGGTTCACATTAAATGAACAGGACAGCCATATTCATGTTGTTCCCATGTGGACACTTGCAAGCTTCAAACGATTGAAACATATGTCTAATCAATATATGGTGAGGGTGCTAATTTGTGAGTAGTTATGCCTTGTGCAACTCACTACTAACTTTAGGTTAAGCATCAATTCTATCAAAATTAGAATCAACTTGTGGAAGTTCATAATGGGCTTGCTATGGGAATGAGATAAGAAAAATATAGTCTAACTGAATTAAGCAATACGTTAACGGTATTCTCCATGCAAATGGGCTAGTTTTGGCAAATTCATATCTATGTGAGAGCATTCTATATTTTGAATTTGTGGTGCACAGTTTAAGGTAACACTAACCGAAGCCTTAAATCCCAATTACTTAGGTTTCGTCTTGAAGAGTCGGCATTGAATCTTAAACTGTCATGTCCTGTTTTTATGACCTCAATATTGTTCTTGCACTCCCCACAACTTGAAACCATCCCTTCTCCTTAATTGGTTTTCTGAACTTCTTAGGTCATCTTTGATGACTTACTCACACCTTGGTCATCGTTTGATGCCATTTCCAACTTCTCGTGAATTTATTGGTTTGGTAGTTTTTGTTTCTTCGCTGTTTTTTTAGCTATTGTAGCACTTTGTCTTAAACTAAAAGATTAAAGGAGCTTAAAATAATGATGTTATTCTCAACACACTGTTTGAAGCTTCCTTAATCTTTTCAATTATTGTTTTGTGAATGATAATTAGTTTTCCATTTCTAATGATCTTAACATTTTTATTGACCTTTTTGTCGGTATTAGTTTTCTTGCAAGAGCCCAAATAACTTTCTTCATTGCTCTGGTTGTTTTTGACTAACTTAGAGAACGATCCAACTCAATATATTGTGCTTACAAGTTCTTTCTCGGTGTACTTTTTGTGGTTTTTTACTCCACTTGACTAGCAATTAGGCAATACGATGATTGGGTGTTTTGATAACTGCAAGATGGACTTGTCTTTTACACACGATTGTTAGGTAGGCTTGGTGTTGAACTACCCAACTTGGATACTGGATGCATTTAGAATAGTCCATGTGATTTATGTTTGTTCTTAGTTAGATTGTGGAGTAATTAGGATTAGGAAGAGAAGAAGATTAAGAATAAGAGAAGAGTGTATTGTGTTAGGGTTGCACAACTACATCCCATTCTCTTATGCTAGGAATACATAACATAACACTCCCCTTCATGGTGGTACATAGATTTCTCTCACGCTCAATTTGAAAACGATAGGATGAAAAAATTTGTTACTAAGCCCCTTTGTGAAAATATTTGCCTAACTGATCTTCTAATTTCAAAAAGGACCTACAAATCAAACCCTAGTTCAACTTCTCTTTGATGAAGTGTCAATCAATTTCGACATATTTGTTTTAATATGTTGAATTGGATTGTGTGTAATGCTGATAGCCGCCTTATTATCACAATACAATCTCATAGGTTCACCATCATGAACTCTGAGCTAGCCTAAAAAATTTGGAGCCATATATGCTCTGTATTCAGCCGTTGTACTCAACCTTGCTACCATTGCTTGCTTTTTTACTTCGTCATGTGACAATGTTTCCTCCTATAAAGGTGTAATAGCTCGAAGTGGATTTTCTGTCATCCATTGAACTTGCCTAGTTTGCATTGGTGAATGTTTCAAGTTTCAAATGTCAATTGTTGGAGAACAAGATCCCTTTCTCTGGAGCTGACTTGAGATACTGAAAATGGTGCTAAACAACTTCAAGATGAGGTGTTCGAAATCATGCATGAATTAACTTGCAACCCCCACTGCATATGAGACAAATATATCAATCTTCTTACTAATCTCTGGTACCTCTCCTTGTCCACAACATTACTAACATCACTACCTAGTCGATGTTTGACTTCGATAGGATAAGAATGTCAAGAACATACTGTCTCAATGTATTGTTTCTTTGAGGATATCAAGAACATATTTTCTTTGGGAGATAAGAATGCCTTTATCTAATTTGGCAACCTTAATTCGAAGAAAGTGTCTTAATGAATCCATATCTTTGATTTCAAACTCCTTAGCCATATGAGCTTTTAGTTTGTCGATTTCATGCACATCATTCCTATTTATCACTATATCATCTACACATACAATGAGAACTGTTATCTTGTCATCTACCTTTTTTATGAACATTGTATGATCAACATGATTCTATTTATATCTTAATTTCAACATGGCTTTTAGAAACATGTCAAACCAAGCTCTAGGTGATTTAAAAATAAGTCTTAGAGTAAAACGATATTATTTCAACCCCATAAAAAAAAAAAAATAAACAAACAGAATCATCATATATTGTACGTAGCGGGTGTATCGTATCGTGTATCGTACGATACGATGCAAAAACGATACAGAGAATAATGCGTATCTGTTTTTCAGGGTATCGTGACATATCGTATGATACATT